GTTTTTGTTGTTGTTGACGCTGTTTTTGTCTTTGTTGTTGTTGTTGTTGATGTTGATGTTGATGTTGATGCTGAAGAGGAGGGGGAGGAGGAGGAGGAGGAGGAGGAGGAGGAGGAAATGGACAGGATCATGATGCGAGGCGGAGGAGGACGAGGAGGATCGGAGGTCAACAGTGCCGCAATCCTGCCACATCCATCAGCGACTTTTTGTTTTGTTCTCGAGAGGATGCAGCGGCCGCGATTTTTGCGGGCTTGCGCCCGTCGGGCCTGGCCCCGAGTCGTTTTCTCTAAACGGTGCTTTGCCAAAAGGGGGTCGTGCCCACCCCCGAGATGCGGAGGAGGGGGAGGCAGAGGCGGAGCAGCAGTGGGTGATGATGGTCACTATGGTGATGCAGGTCGGATAAGAAAGAGGAGTGCAGAACATCGTGGCGCGCGGTGAAGCGCGAAAGCGACCAGCAGGGCATTTCCTGACTTACTGCTGGCTCGCTGGGTTGTGGGAGCTGGCTCACTGGCTCGGGTAAGCTGACGTACAGAGTGTGTGACTCGCCGGCTTGTGTCTCGTTGAGCTGAGTGCCGCGCAGAGACAAGCTTGCTCGCTGGGTTCTCTCAGCCTGCCAGGAGGAAGGGAGTGGAACTGCTCCTTCGCTAAGTTTCTCCTTTCGCTAAGTTTGTTCTTTCGCTGTTCGTGAGTGGGTGGTACTGCGTGCTCGAAAGTTCGGTCGGCGGCAAGCGAGGGGGGGAAGTGAGAAGGAGAAGGCCTTCTAAGAATGTTCGGAAGTCCCCCGGCCTTCTGAGGAGTTTTCTAAGCCTTTCCCGGAGACGCGAAAGACTTCTGAGAAGGCGCGAGGGCTTCTGAGAAGTCCCGCCGCCTTCTGAGAAGGCCTTCTCCTTCTCGTTTCCCCCCCCCCTCGCTCGCCGCCGATTCGTGGAGGCCGCCTTCGACCGCGCAGGGTGGCATGGCAGGCCCCTCCGCCCTGCCCCTTCCCTTTGTCCCTCGAGCGCTCTCGCGCCTTTTGGCCTTGCGTCGGGCACAGGAGGAACATTCAAAAATAGTCAAGAACTAAAATATTAGGTTTGAGCATGTTTGAATATGTTTGGATTATTTTGTTTAACATATATCATTTTATTTGAAGGAGTAGCTCGTTCAAAACATCCCTGTAGGAGGACATGCCCGACCTAACATTTGGCCCTTCTTCCGGGACCCACCCTCCGATTCTCCTCTCCGGCTCTGCCTTTTTTCGCGACGTCGGCACCGGGAGCTTCGACCGCTTCCCCGGGGCCAGCTTCACCCCCGAAGTTCCAGGTCGATGCTTTCCTCCCCGTCCCTCCCTGAGCCGGGCCCCCCCTGCCGGTGTCCCTCAACCTTTGACTACACGTGAGGAGTGACTTTTCGCTGGAGTGACCCTTGGTGCGGGCCCACTGGGGTCCCTCGATCGCTGGATGCGCCCTTGTGTGCGGCCCTCCAAACAGCGCTTCTGTGCGGCCCCCCCCCCCGCGGCCCCCCAAAAAGCCGCGCGCAAAAGGTCCTCCTCCCTCCTCCTCCTCCTCCTCCTCCTCCTCCTCCTCCTCCCCCTCCTCCCCCTCCTCCTCCTCCTCCTCCCCCTCCTCCTCCTCCTCCCCCTCCTCCCCCTCCTCCTCCCTCCTCCTCCTCTCCTCCTCCTCCTCCTCCTCCTCCCTCCTCCTCCCTCCTCCTCTCCTCCTCCTCCTCCTCCTCCCTCCCCCTCCTCCCCCATTCCTCCTCCTCCTCCTCCCCCTCCTCCTCCTCGTCGCTCCTGCGTGCAGCCAAAGCCTCCCTCTCTGGCGGCTCCGCCGACGGGCTCCTCGGGCCGGGCCCCGCCCCCCCCGGGGAGCCCCGCGCCCCCTCGGGGGCCAGGGTGAGCCGCCCGAGGTGCGCTGGGCCGCGACGGGGCCGTGCCGTGTCGGCGCGGCGGCGACCTCGGCGCGGGGGCGTCCAAAGTCGCAGGCCCAGCGGTTGACACCAACACCCAGATCGGCGGCGTGCCTCCACCGAGGGATGGAGATCCCAATCTCGGTGACGGTGGTACTATTCTGGCTTCCAAGGGTGACCGAACTAGTACCACCAGCACCGAAATCCGGGATCATCTTCCCCCTGCGGAGGCAACCCCCTGTTTTGGTGTTGGTGCCCATTTCCAGGCCTCCAACAAAGGTCCAGCGCCGCCGATGGCCTGGAAGCGGGCGACGTCGAGCGATCCTCCATGCCGGAGAGCTACGATCGAAGGATCCTCGCGGTGTCCGGAGCCCAGGTCGAGGTCGCGACGGCACGAAGATGCCGCACTCGGCTCGCATCGACTTCCCTGACATCTGGGGGCTCGAGCCAACTTGAGACGCCCAAGCCTTCACCGTCTCGGGGCTCGGGACCCAGATCTGGGTCCCAGGACCATCAGGAAACGATTCGGCATGGAAAGCCAGACCTGGGGTCGAGAGATCTGGGGGCCCATGTTTCGAGAGAAGCGAACAGTCAGATGTGTATTTTTTCTGATTCCCCCCACTGGTTTCCCCCGAGAAACGTTTCAGGGCACTGACACATCGCGACCAGGGCCCTCGTCCCCACCTCTCCGCGGCAGTTTTCGGGCCCGATCGATCCGCGAGTGTCCAGGGGGGGGGGGGGGCCCGAAACGGGTGCAGAGGGGCAGGGGAGCGCCCTTTGGACGAGCGTGGTGTGGAGCCCCCTCCCCATCAGCTGGGAAGGCGGGCAGTTTTCGTCGTCGCGGGGCACCTCCCGTCCTTCGCGACATCCGGAGCCGAGGGCCCAGCCTCGGGCCTCCAGCGCCGCGCTTTTTTTTTTTGTTCGGCGCGTGGGCCCCCCCCGAGCCTCTCGGCCCCTGCCCCAGGGCCGGGCTTGTCGCCGCGAGGCGCTCTCGGGGGCCCCGAGGCCCGAGCCCGGCCTCTGGAGGCCGAGCACGGGGAGGAGCCAGCCGCCTCGCTCTGCGCGAAGCGCCGGGCGTCTAGAAGCTGAGGGTCCAGCTCCTCGTGCGTCGGCGTCGCCCAAGCATGCTCATGCTGTCCGTGCGTCGGCCCCCCAGGGGCGACGCGCGCGCCCAGAACTCTTGGAGTGTGCGCTCGGTGGTGGGCGCTCTGTGGTCCTACCGCCTGGGTAACGCTGTGCCCTCACATGCCCGTGCTATAGGTGGGGTTCGGACGTGCGCCTCCAGGGGGGGGGGCGCGTAGTTTTCGTATGGCCCTCTGCGCCCCGCTGCAGGAAGCCGGGCACCCGCACCGTCATCCGCTACTGGTCCGTCGCGGACCGCTGGCTGATCGACCGGGAGGGCCTGCAGGAGTCCGACACGTGCAACGCCTACGCCGGGCGCCCGGTGCCCTCGCGTGGCCCCCCTCGAGGGGCAGCCGCGCGGGCCGGCTCGTGGGCGACGCATCTATCCGTAACCACGGCCTGGTGGGCTGGGCCCCTAGGCCGCGACCCCGCGGGTACGGGGGTGTTTTCCGCGGATGGCCCGTGCGGAGCGTAGCCGTGCGACCGCGTATCCGCGAGATTGCGCCCTGGAGTCCAGACCGCGAGGGCGCGGATACAGATAGGTTTGCCGCTCGGAACGATGGCGACGGATGTGGCGCCACCAGCGGCTGCGACAGCGGCAGCGACGCTGGCGGACGTGCTGCTGGCAGCGACGGCGTCGTCGTCGTCGTCGTCGTCGTCGCCGCCGTCGTCGTCGTCGTCGTCGTCGTCTTCGTCGTCGTCGTCGGCTGCCAGGTATTTGCTGCTGTTGTCCTTCCCAGGAGGAGGAGGAGGAGGAGGAGAGAGGAGGAGGAGGAGGAGGAGGAGGGGAGGAGGAGGAGGAGGAGGGAGGAGGAGGAGGAGGAGATCCTCTCCTCCTCCTCCTCCTCCTCCTCCTCCTCCTCCTCCTCCTCCTCCTCCCCCCCCTTCCTCCTCTTGAAGTTGTCGCTGCTCCTTGCCCCCCCTCCTGGTGGGGCAGGAGGACGGCCGAGGAGCGGCACCGGAGGAGGACGGCCGAGGGTGCCGCGCGGCGCCGTGGGCCGTCGGCGCGTGGCCCGAGGCCGAGCAGGGCGGCCGGCCGCACCCCGCCTTCGAGGACCTGGTCTGGCGCGTGTGGGAGACGCAGCACGGCGAGCACGTGAGGCCTCGGCTGCTGCGGGCCACAGCTCAGCCTCCGCCCGTCGGGCACGAGGGCAGAGCACGGCCCTGCCTCTGGCTGGGGGGCCCTCTGTGTTCTCTGGTGTGGTGGCTCTCCAGCGTCGCGTAGTGCTTTTTTCGTTTTGGGCATATCTCCTCAGGCGATCGCAAATATGGATCAAGGGGGCGTGGAGTAGCGACGGGTCCCGTTTCCATGGGAGCTCGCGCATTTCCGCCGCCGAGCGAGGCGGCACCAGCCGCCTTTTGTGGGGAGGGCGCCTCCCCCGATCCAGGGGTTTGGCGACCGCGCGCCAAATCCATGGATCGCTAATCCATGTTTGCGCCTCCTCGATTCTGCGGGCCGCAGCTCAGCCTCCGCCCGGCTCGGGAGGCCGCTACGACTCGGACGGGGCCTCGTGCAAGGTCTCGTCGATCAGGGTCGGTGGCCGTGCGTTCTTGGCCCAGCTCATCTCGGGGGTTCGTTGAGGAGGGGGTTACCCCAAGGTGGGGTTTGGGAGCGCACCCCGCTGGATGCTTAGATTTCCTTCTTGCACGAGCCGTTTAGAGCGACGTTCCTGTAACTCCACCTCTCGGCCACGCGCAGATGGGGGCAGGGGGGGGAGGCTTCTCGGAAGCACTCCTTCTCTGCAGATCTGGGGCGGGCGCCTTCTGAGAAACAGCCTCCTTCCGAGAAGCCTTCCCCGCTCCCCCTCCCCTACCCCCCGTGCGCGCCGCCAAACATCAAGAGGGGAAGAAACACACAGACACACTGAATCGTCGACCCCCAGGAGAATATGGGGAACTATGGGAAGTGGGGGGGAAGACGAACACCCAGAAGATATGGGAAAATATGGCGAATCCTGGGATTTGTGTGTGTGTGTGTGTGTTTATTTGTGTGTCCCCGGGCTCCTTTAGAACAGCTCTCTCGGGCAAGCCGTGGGGGGCACACGCCGGTGGTGCCGAGGCAACAAGAAATAATATGGGGACTATTTGTTTGAGCATTTTTGGGCATCTTATGCGTATTTTTCCCTACCTAGGCTCTGCCTAGAAGGGTTCTTACTCTCTTGGCTTAAAGGGCCGGGCATTGGGAACCAGCCCGGGCGGTTCCCCCAGTATCCGCCCCGCGTTTCCCCCAGTTACATCCCCTTAGCTTAGCGTTGCTTATCTCATCTTAGCTTAGCTTATTTCATCTTAGCTTAGCTTAGCTTTATCTTGGCTCAGGTTTATCTCAGCTTAGCTTACCTTCATTTCTTAAGCAGTTGGAGGGCTCGCCGAGGATGTTCCATTATGCCGCGCCGTGCCGCCTAGGGGGAGCTCCCTGCGTTGTGTGGGTCGGGCGAGGTTGCGCCACATTGCCTTAAGTCGGGCCTGTCCCTCTACAGGGGGGATAATCAAAAATAGTCAAAAAATAGTCTGAGGACGATGTTTTGACAATTTCTGATCATTTGGGAATAACTATGTTTTGAGTATTTTTCCCTACCTAGGCTCTGCCTAGAGGGTTCTTACTCGCTGGGCTTAAAGGGGCCAGGCAGTGTTCCTCGCCCCGAGCGGTTCCCCCAGTATCCGCCCCGCGGTTCCCCCAGTTGCGCCCCCTGGGTTCACCCAGCTTAGCTTAGCTTAGCTTAGCTTAGCTTAGCGTAGCGTAGCTTAGCTTAGCTTAGCTTATCTCATCTTAGCTTAGCTTAGCTTAGCTTAGCGTTGCCTAACCTAGCTTAGCTTAGCTTAGCTTAGCTTAGCTTAGCTTAGCTTAGCTTAGCTTAGCTTAGCTTAGCTTAGCTTAGCTTAGCTTATGCTAGCTTAGCTTAGCTGAGCTTAGCTCAGCCTCGCCTAGCTTCACTTAGCTTAGCTTACCATAGCATCGCTGAGCTTAGCTTGCCTTAGCTTAGCTTAGCGCAGCGCAGCATAGCGCAGCGCAGCATCAGCACAGCACAGCATAGCATAGCATAGCATAGCATAGCATAGCATAGCATAGCATAGCCAATCATAGCATAGCATAGCATAGCCAAGCATAGCATATCATATCATAGCATAGCATAGCATAGCATAGCATTGCATAGCATTGCATAGCATACCATATCATAGCATAGCATAGCATTGCACACCATAGCACAACATGTCATAACATGTATGTAAATGTATATGTAGGTGTAGATGTAGGTGTATATGTAGATGTAGAAGTGAGTCTCGCTGTTTCTGTTGATGTAGATGTAGATGCAGGTGTAGATGTAAATGTAGCTGTCGCTGTAGATGTAGATGTTGCTTTCCTAAATATTCCAACTCCTAGGAAGGGTCGCACTGGGATAATTTGAATATTTTTTGTTTTTCATTCCAATTCCCCCTGTAGGGGGACAGGCCCGACCTAACCCTAGGGCGCTGCTCACCGATCCGTCGCCGAGGATGGGAGCCGGCCCCGCTTCGCTGGAGGGCGCGCGTTCCAGCAGGGGCTCTGCGTTTTTCCATCTCCCCTGCTGCCTTGTTGTTCGTTCCCCCCTTCTGTGCTCGTGTCCTCGTCGTCGTCGTCGTCGTCGTCGTCGTCGTCGTCGTCGTCCGAATCGTGTGGGCTGGCGCGGGGCGATCCGTGAGCCGACGCCCGGCTGTGTCAGGGGATGCGGCCCTGCTCAGCTCCTCTGGATACGGAGCTCTGGCTTGACGTTCCCAGATGCGGCTCTGTCCAACTTCGCGACATCACCCGGTGAGCGGCTGGCCGGCGTTTGCTTCTTGCACAGGTCACGTGTGTTAGCAATACTCGTCAGGCGTTCTGCCACACTGCGATGAGCACTGCGCTGTCTCGCTCTTGTTGTAACTGTTTTACTTTTGCTGGGCGCTTCGGCCCGCGAATCAAACAACTGTTTTACTTTTGTTGGGCGCTTCGGCCCCACACCGCGGCACACAAGGTGCACGAATGCAGGCCGATATCCGATGTCCGATGGCCTGACGGTCCTGGGCTCAGGGCCAGGGCCGGAGCTGGGCGCGAGGGGGGGGGCGGACTCTCGGCGCCCCCCCGGCGAGGGACCCCGAGCTGATCGTGACCTCGGCCCCGTCCGCGGTGAACGGGCGGGCGGGCCGCATGCTCCTTTCAGGAGGAGGGCGGGGAGGAGGAGGAGCAGGAGGAGGAGGAGGAGGATGAGGGAGAGGAGGAGGAGGAGGAGGCGGAGGAGGGAGAGGAGGAGGAGGAGGAGGAGGAGGAGGAGGAGGATGAGGATCATGATGATGAGGATTATGAGGAGGAGGATGAGGAGGAGTAGGAAGAGAAGAAAGAGTAGGAGGGAACGGATGATGTTGATGATGATGGTGCTGATGATTAAGGTGATGATGCTGATGATGCTGATGCTGATGCTGATGCTGATGCTGTTGCTGACTCTTATGCTGATGCTGATGATGACGTTGCTGATCAAT